GGGCAGGGAACTGCCCAACTCCAGCACCCTCTAGCCTTCTAGCCTCACCTAAAAGAAGCACATGTGAAGTTCACAATCCAGAGACACAACCTCACTAAAAGTTTGAGACCTAATCCTAGACTAAAATGTTTCCCAGCCCCCTACACCTTACCATATATCACTAAAGGCCAGCACATCATGCATGGCTAGCAAGAAAATATTACAAGGCATACTAAAAGGCAAAAAATATAGCTGGAATAGAGAAAGATCAAGCATCAGAACCAGATTCATATATGGCCAGGATGTTGGAATGATCAGGTTGGGAAATTAAAACAACTATCATTAAAAAGTTAACAGCTCTGAAGAATAAAGGAGACAGTATACAAGTACTGATGGGGGCTTCCCTGGTGGTCCAGTGGTTAAGACTCCATGCTCTCAATGCAGGAGACACGGGTTCAAACCCTGGTCAGGGAACTAAGATCCCACATGCCATAGAGCATGGCCAAAACAAAATAAAAATAAACACCTTAAAAAAAAAAAACAAGTACTGATGGGTAGTGCAAGTAGAGAAATGGAAATTTGAGGAACTAAAAGAAATTCTAGAGATCAAAAACACTGTAAAGAAATGAAGAACGCCTTTGATGAACTTATAGTAGATTGCACATAACTGAAGAGAGGGTGCATGGGTACAGCTTGTAGGAGGCGAAGCTCTTCATGCCCTTGAACTTGGTCTGCTTGGTGGGGTTGTTGATGGTGCACTGGAAGGGGTAGGGGCTCTTCCTGCCATTTGGCGCCATAGGGGCCGAGCACCATACACAACTTGTCTCCATCCTTCCTCCTTTCATGACTGCTTTTCAACATCATACTGGAAGTCCTAGCTAAGGCAATGAAGAATAGGAAAAGTTATACAGTTTGGGAAGGAAGAAATAAAACTGTTTGCAGAGGATATGCTTATTTATGCAGAAAAATCCAGTAGAATCAACAACAAATCCCACCCCCCCCATAAAATTCATAATACATTATAGCAAGGTTGCAGGATGCAAGGATGATATACAAAAGTCAACTGTTTTCCTATACATACCAGCAATGAACAAGTGGAGCTAAAATTAAAAGCACAATACCACTTATACTAGTACCCCCTCAAAATGAACCATTTAGGCAAACATATACCAAAACTTGTACAAGATGTACATGAAGAAACTACAAAAACTGAGGAAGGAAATAAAAGAACAATTACACAAACAGAGAGATATTCCATGTTCATGAATAGGAATACTGAATATTGCCAAGATGTCAATTCTTCCCAACTTGACCTATAGATCCAATGCAATTCCAATCAAAATCCCAGCAAGTTATTTTGTAGATATCCACTAACTGATTCTCAAGTTTATACAGAGAGGTAAAAAATCTAGTATAACCAACACAAAGTTAAGGGAGAAGAACAAAAGTTAAGACTGCTAAAACTACTCAACTTCAAACCTTACTCTACAGCTGCAGTAATCAGTACAGTGCAGTATTGGTGAAAGACAAAACAGACAAATCAGTGAAACAGACAGCCCAGTAACAGACTCATAAATAGACTCAACTGACCTTTGAAAAAAGAGCAAAGATAGGTTTTTCAATAAATAGTGCTGGAACAACTGGACATCCACATGCGAAAAATGAATCTAGACACAAATCCTATACCCTTCACAAAAATTAACTCAAATGGATCAGAGACCTAAATGTACAAAATGCAAAACTATAAAAATCCTGGAAAATAGCATAGGCGAAAACCTAGATGACCTTGGGTATGACAATGACTTTTCAGATATAACTTCAAAGGTGCTATCCATGAAAAAAAATAATCGACGTTGGGCTTCATTAAAGTTAAAAACTTCTGCTCTGTGAAAGACTACATCAAGAAAATGAGAAGACAAGCCACAGATTGGGAGAAATATTTGCAAAAGACACAGTTGATAAAGGACTGTTATCTAAAATATTCAAAAGATTCTTCAAAATAAAAAATAAGAAAGTAACCCAATTTAAAAATGGGCCAAAGACCTTAATAGACACCTCACTGAAGAAGATATACAAATGGCAAATCAGCACATGCAAAGATGCTCCACATCATATGTCATCAGGGAAATGCAAATTAAAACAACAATGACATACCACTCCAAGCTTATTCAGTTCAGTTCAGTTCAGTCGCTCAGTTGTGTCCGACTCTTTGTGACCCCATGAATTGCAGCACGCCATCCATCACCAACTCCCGGAGTTTACTCAAACTCACGTCCATTGAGAGGGTGATGCCATCCAGCCATCTCATCCTCTGTCGTCCCCTTCTCCTCCTGCCTTCAGTCTTTCCCAGCATCAGGGTCTTTTCCAATGAGTCAACTCTTTGCATGAGGTGGCCAAAGTATTGGAGTTTCAGCTTCAGCATCAGTCCTTCCAATGAACACCCAGGACTGATCTCCTTTAGGATGGACTGGTTGGATCTCCTTGCAGTCCAACGGACTCTCAAGAGTCTTCTCCAACACCACAGTTCAAAAGCATCAATTCTTCAGTGCTCAGCTTTCTTCATAGTCCAACTCTCACATCCACACATCCACACTGGAAAAACAGCCTTGACTAGACAGACCTTTGTTGGCAAAGTATTAGAAAGGCCAAAGTCCAGAACACTGATAACAACAAATGATAGTGAGGATTTACAGTAACAGGGACTCTCATTCATTGCTGGTGGGAATGCAAAGTGGTACAGTCACTGCAGAAGACCACTGGCATTTTCTCACAAAATTACACATACTTCAGTAATCGCATTACTTGATATTCACCCAAAGGAGTTGCTAACTTACAGTCACACAAAAACCTGCACAGATTTACAGCGGCTTTTTTCATAATTGGCAAAACTTGGAAGCAACCCAGATGTCCTTCAGTAGGTAAGTGGATAAACTGTGGCATACCCAGGCAATGAAATATTATTCAGTGCTAAAAAGAAATGAAAAGACATGGAGGAATGTGTCCATGGGGAGGCTATGTGTCGGGGTAGTGGTGTTGTGACGGGCTGTATACGGAAAAAATCTCTTTACTTTCTGCTCAGTTTTGTTATGAACCTACTACTGCTCTAAAAAAACAAAGTCTACTGGAAAAAAAAAAAAATCAAGGCATATTTGTCTTGTTCTAGAATAGCAAAGAAACCACTGTGGTTTCTCTCCAGTGGAAGAGAGGGATAGAAAGAGGGGCAGGAGCCCAGCCACCTAAGGCCTCTGAGGCCAAGGAAAGAAGTGTGAAAATGTGGTTGTTTGGAGCCATTTAGTATTCCCTAGTGACTTGTTTTTAGAAAAGCATAATGAAATGGAAATAGTTGATGGTTATAATGATGATTCTGTAAATTGAATTATAAATAATATGCTTTACTTTCTAGAGAAATCTCTTTACAATGTATTACTGTATCTACTTCCTTGAGTGAACAGTTATAAGTTTTTAATACTTGAGTGTATTTTCTAGCTATCCACGGCCTTTAAGGGGTGGTGTCTTTCCTGCTATTAGGGTGCCATGGGGCTAGGAACCATGTCCCTGTCATTCATGACGCCTAAACATTTGCTCCTGCACTGGTTCTGCAAACAACCTCTGGAATCCAGCAGTTCCCCAGCCATGACTCTACAGAGAAGCCCAACCTGTCTATAAATGCCATCCCCTCAAATTTCAGCAACATTAACACCTGGAAACAGATTTCCAGTCTCCCTCCCTATTTGAAATCCCAAAGCATTGCAAGTTTCATGCTACTTTAATCACTTTTTAATCTAAAAAGTTAACTACCAGATGAATAGAAAAGGTGAAACAGAATGTATTTATCTTAAATATTTTGGATTAGCTTCTCAGGAGCTAATAAGTAAAATAAATTGTATTCTCGATGGTTCATACCTGTTGACATCATGATTCTGACCACATCAATTGATGATATCAAAATTCAGTTACCTCTGTTACTTGCTGTGAGAACTGTCCTAACGCAGAATTTTCAGCTACAAGTGGTGTAATTCAGAATTTGCCTACTGAATTGAATTAAGGGTTTGTATTAGGGATAAATACTGTGGGAGTAATTCTGGTATATTGGGTTGGTGGTTTTGTGCAGGAAGTTTAGAATACCACAGCTCTTATAATGATTGTATACTCTTCTGGCTCCTTTCCCAGATTTGCTTGAAAAGGGTCAGAGGACAGGATGAAATTAATGACATATGAATGCTAACACCCAATTAGAGGTGTCTTCAAAGGAATAATTAGGCTAGACTTAATAAGAGGGGATTCTGAGAAGAAAAAGCTTTAGGCAAATTAAACTCTGAAAGAAAAGAAGATGTGAAATAAGGCAACTCTAGGAGATTGGAGTTGATTAAAACGTCAGGAAGTGATTTTATCTACTTATCTTAAAAATAGTATAAATATAGTGAGACAAATGGATGGAGAGGGGTGGTCACTGAGTCCAGGCTAGGAGCAGGGGTCTGAACACTGGTACCCTTCCTCCAGCACATATCCGGGGGCTGTAATTTTAGGACCCCTATTCTCTTTATGATGGAGAAGGAAATGGCAACCCACTCCATTATTCTTGCCTGTAGAATCCCATGGACAGAAGAGGCTGGTGGGCTACAGTCCATAGGGTCGCTAAGAGTCAGACATGACTGAAGCGATTTAGCATTCTCTTTATGAAGGAGGACAAGGTTTTTGCTTTTTAGCAGCAAACACTTGAACTGTGCTTCCCACCTATAATGCAAGCTCTCTGTTTCATTTTCCTCATCTGTAAATAGAGATTCCACGATTATCAAATCCCCACAACAAATCCAGGAGTGCAAAAAGTGACTTGCTCAAGGTCATACAGGCAGGGATTATCAGAAGACAGATCGACCCCAGTAGCCTGGAGTGGAAGCTTAAACTCTCATTCACGTGTTTTAGGAAGGGGACGGGACACAGGCAAAATGCAAGCTCTCTCAGCACATTTATTTTAGTGTAAACTCTCCAGTGCCTCCCTCTGCTACACAACCCTTAGCCTCTTAATTGGTGAAACGCAGCGCCTTTCTTACTTTGCTCTTGTCACTCTCCTCTCTTTTTTGACCAAAAGCCTCCAGTGGGTAGAAGATGTCAGGGAGCTTCTCCGTCAGTTTACAGCGCACCTCCCGGCATCCCGTCTTTCTTAGTGCAATAGCTAACATTCATTGAAAATCTTTCAACAGACGCGTGGGTTATGTCATTGTACGAGTATTCACTGAGCGCTTAGAGTGGGAACGTTAATCAGCAATGAAAATATTAACTTACTTTCTAAGATACTTTTTTTTAAACTTAAAAGCCTAAAAAAGAAAGATGTCAGTTCACTTCTGAAGAGAAACCTTCACCCTCAAGCTCTCACCCATGCGCCTCACTGAACGGCACTGGCCACAAGGGGGCAGTGGCTGCCACCGAGTCGAACCTGGGGGCGTGCGCGGCGGCTCGGCCATCGCTTGCTCTCGCCTAGCGCGCGGCTCTCGGCCGTGGATTAGCGCAGCTGGGGACGTGGGAGGCCGCGGGCCCCGCCCCCAATCGGCGGCGGCGGCGGCCCAGCGCGGCAGTCTGCGCTGCTAGCGGAGCGGCGCAGAGGGCGCGACCAGCGGGTGGGGGCCCAGGAGTGTGTGCTGCCTTCGGAGCTCCTCTCAGCGCGCCAGGGCGCGGGCACGACCGCGGGCCCCTCGGGCGGGCGCCAGGCTCAGGGCGCCGGGAGTCGGGGGGCAGCCCGCCGGGGTGCCGGGACCATGGCGCTGCGCGCCCGGGCGCTCTACGACTTCAGGTCGGAGAACCCGGGCGAGATCTCGCTGCGGGAGCACGAGGTGCTGAGCCTGTGCAGCGAACAGGACATCGAGGGCTGGCTTGAGGGGATCAACAGCCGCGGAGACCGCGGCCTCTTCCCGGCCTCTTACGTGCAGGTGATCCGCGCCCCCGAGCCCGGCCCGGCGAGCGACGGCGGCCCGGGCGCTCCGAGCGCCCCGGCCCGCTATGCCAACGTGCCACCCGGCGGCTTCGAGCCCCTGCCTTCCGTGCCCCCCACCTCCTTCAAGCCGCCGCCCGACGCCTTCCAGCCGCTGCTGCAACCGCAGCAGGCGCCGCCGGTGAGCACCTTCCAGCCGCAGGGTTTCTCGTACGGCGGGAGCGCCCTGCAGCCGTCGCCGCAACAGCTCTACGGCGGCGGCGGCGGCTACCAGGCCAGCCAGGGCAGCGACGATGACTGGGACGATGAGTGGGACGACAGCTCCACCGTGGCTGACGAGCCGGGAGCACTGGGGAGCGGCGCATACCCGGACCTCGACGGCTCGTCGTCTGGGGGCGTCGGCGCTGCTGGCCGCTACAGCCTGTCCACGCGCTCCGACTTGTCGCTGGGCTCCCGCGGCGGCTCTGCGCCCCCGCAGCACCACCCGTCGGGGGCCAAGAGCTCGGCCACCGTGAGCCGCAACCTCAACCGCTTCTCCACCTTCGTCAAGTCGGGCGGGGAGGCCTTCGTGCTGGGTGAGGCGTCGGGCTTCGTGAAGGATGGGGACAAGCTGTGCGTGGTGCTGGGACCATATGGCCCCGAGTGGCAGGAGAACCCCTACCCCTTCCAGTGCACCATCGACGACCCCACCAAGCAGACCAAGTTCAAGGGCATGAAGAGCTACATCTCGTACAAGCTGGTGCCCACACACACGCAGGTGCCGGTGCACCGGCGCTACAAGCACTTCGACTGGCTGTACGCGCGCCTGGCCGAGAAGTTCCCGGTTATCTCGGTGCCCCACCTGCCCGAGAAGCAGGCCACCGGCCGCTTCGAGGAGGACTTCATCTCCAAGCGCAGAAAAGGCCTGATTTGGTGGATGAACCACATGGCCAGCCACCCGGTGCTGGCGCAGTGCGACGTCTTCCAGCACTTCCTGACCTGCCCCAGCAGCACCGACGAGAAGGCCTGGAAGCAGGGCAAGAGGAAGGCCGAGAAGGATGAGATGGTGGGTGCCAACTTCTTCCTGACCCTGAGCACGCCCCCCGCCGCCGCCCTCGACCTGCAGGAGGTGGAGAGCAAGATCGAAGGCTTCAAGTGCTTCACCAAGAAGATGGACGACAGCGCGCTGCAGCTCAACCACACAGCCAACGAGTTCGCGCGCAAGCAGGTGACCGGCTTCAAGAAGGAGTACCAGAGGGTGGGGCAGTCCTTCCGCGGCCTCAGCCAGGCCTTTGAGCTGGACCAGCAGGCCTTCTCGGCCGGCCTGAACCAGGCCATTGCCTTCACCGGAGATGCCTACGACGCCATCGGTGAGCTGTTTGCCGAGCAGCCCAGGCAAGACCTAGACCCGGTCATGGACCTGTTGGCGTTGTACCAGGGCCACCTGGCCAACTTCCCCGACATCATCCACGTCCAGAAAGGTAAAGCCTGGCCTTAAGAGCGGACGGTGTGGGATGTGTTGTTCAGGCTAAGAGGGACACTTTGACAGAAGTCCCATTGTATGTTTCAGATTAATATCCCACAGGTCGGGGTCCCCGCAGGGATGTGGGCAGCCAGGCGGTGCCCCAAGGGTAGGGCGGATGGTGGGTTGGTAGCTTCCTCCTTAAAGTGTTTCCAGACAGGCTTTTCCAGACAGGCTGCGGGTACACTCTTCAGAGGAGGTTGGGAGAGCACTTTTAACGACAGTGCTGTCATTTTAGAGTGTGAATAGTTGGGTAATGAGCTTCTGGGATTGGTCATCTTGTGTCTAGGGGAGAATCAGATGGGGACCCAAGCCATGTTAGGCATCCATTTGAACACTGGCAGTGTCATTTAGCCATGGGTTTCCGGAAGTGTGGAAATCAGGGGCAAGAGTGGATATCTGCAGATAAAGGTAAGTCCTGCTTTTGCCCCTCTTCTCGTCTCAGCCCCTGCATTGGTAGAGAAAGTAGGGTCAGTTCTCTATAGGTACCACTTAAATGGGGAGGCGTAGGAATTTCCTGCACAGGCTTCTTGCTTTCAACCTTTGTAAAATAAGGTAAAAGACTCAGCCAAATTTCAGGAAGTTTTAAGAAAATTACTCTCTTTAAGCTTGATCATTTTGAATTTGGTGTCTACTAACCGACTGAAATTAAGAATATTATTTAGGAAAATGGTGTAGGGAAGCCATGTAGAATGTATAGGATCTGAGTATTGTGTCTGAGAGCAATGTTTCTGGTATCTCAGCGAGTTAGCTGCCCAACTGTCAGAGCGTGTTTTATTTAGTCGTCGTTAGTGTCCCTAAAGACTGAAGTTTGCAGATTGTTTTCTTAGAAAATAAATTAGAGCAGAATTAGAGCAGTAAATCCTGCCTTAAGGTTACTCGCTGGCTTGCATTCTGGTAGCATGCCTGGAGAGAGGGAGAATGGGGAGGCAGCCTTGCTGAGAAGGTCTGCGGTTCGCTGTGGGGGAGGGGAAGAGGGCGTCACCTAACCACCTTCCTTGAGGGGGTGGAAACCTTGGGCCACTGCGTCTGGCCCTGGGTAATGAGTCGCTTGCTGCCCTATGAGGTGGGACAGCCGGTTTACAAACAGCCCAGATCTTTAACCTATTCTTCCTGGTATTAAACTAAAGTTTGCCTCTCTTGATTGTCTTTCTGTTCCCTGGAAACACACAAAGTAAGTTTCTTCCTCGACATATCAGCCCATCAGACCTTTTGGGACAGCAGCTTCCTTCCCCTCTGCTGCACTCCTGCCTTTCCGGGTAGGTGACAGGCTTCTAACTCCCCAGAGAGGGGTCCGGCAAATATGCTGATGCTGGGGTAGTCCCTGCTAAAATGCACTGCCCCAAACATCTGCAATACTAGTTTCAGTAGAGAGCAGTAACTTTTTTGACAGTTTACATCTTGTAAGTGAAACGTAAGGTTAAATTAGCTGTTTGGGCAGCCATATCACTATTGACCTGCATTGAACCTACATCTTTGTTCCCTGTGACCCCCCTTTTTTGCATAAATTGCTATGAATTCTTGATATTTTAGTAGGTGCTGGTGCAACTGACTCTTTGAGCCTTTAATGCAGGATCTGACATTTAAATTCCACTGTGTCACATCATTCTGGATCCAGCGCTGGGTGCCTTTTTAAATGTTTCTGTGAGTTTATGCATATTGTTGATAAACAGTTCAAGGAGTGGAGCCAGGTACAGACTCGCGCAGTCACACAGGTGGCTAGCTACTACAGGGCAGCGTCAGTTCATTCAGTGGTTTTACTGTCTTCAGACCACACACTCAGCCTTGTTGAGTGACTCTGCTGTCGAAGTGATTAGAAAATACTTGATGTTTGCTATAAAGTCTATTTTGAGTTTGTATGTAGTCTGTTAAGCCATATACATAGTTTATTATTTTTGTTTAACACTACAACTAAAATTGTCTCCTGTTGGGATTTGAGAAACTTCCTTCATTAAAACCAGTACCATTTTTACCTTGTTTAAACAGTTCAAGGGCCCTAAACATAATCTTCAGGAACTTCAGAAGAACATCAGTTGATATTCAACATATCAACTTTTTGTTTGTTTCTGCTGTCGCCTTGGTGTGTGATGTACAGGGAGCCTGTGTCCCTGGAAACATATCTTTAGAATGTACTGCCATTTAAAGCTATAGTGTGCAGTGCATAAAGCTAAAAGCATTTGTTTACAGCCAGCATTTATCAGGGATGCTGGTGTTGGCCGTTTTAGGAATACAGATGAGCTTTAAGCCCAGCTGAAGCTTTTTGAACATGTTCTGGATGTTCACATGACTGTACAGAGCAGAAGAAACAGCCCCCCTCCCGCCCCTACTCCACAGTTGCTGTTGGAATGAATCTTCATCTGAGCACTTGGGAATTTTGTTTACAAGTTGTTTTTTCCTTCAGGATCTCAAAACAGAATCATATTGTAGGCCTTACTGTGACTTTGGAGAGGAGAGTAAAAAAAAAAAGAGTGAAAATCTTTAAGCAGTTTATGCGATCTTTTGTTGTAAGTATTTGGTCCAAAGTTTATATTAAGTCTTTGTTGTTTTCAGTAAGAGAAAAGTGGTTTTATCTCTTTTACATTTTACATGTTCTAATCATATATTACCCAGGAGAAAATCATGGCAACCCACTCCAGTATTCCTGCCTGGAGAATCTCATGGACAGAGGAATCTGACAGGCTACAGTCCATAGGATTGCACAGTCGGACACGACTGAAGCGACTTAGCACGCAGGCAGTCATATATTAGGAGACCCACATTCAGTTGAGTCAGAAAATGATTAGAAAGTACTTTTTAATTACTAAAGCAGTTAAGAAGGGGAGTTAATTAGTTCTTTTTCTCCCTTAGTTCTTGGGGGAGAGGACGGGACCGTTAGGCTCCTCTGGAGCCTTTTTCTTATCCAGGAGACTGCTGCCATCAGCCAGCTTTCCCAAGAGTTTTGGACCTGAGTTCTTCCATGCTGAGTCTGTAAGCCACATGTAACTCTTCAAGTTAGTTACAGTTCAATAAAATTTAAAAAATTCAGTTCCTTAGTCATACTAGTTATACTTCAAGTGCTTTGTAGCCAGCGGCTACCATACTGGACAACAGAGATGAGGCCTGTTTTCCATCCTTGCTCTAGGTTCTCATTGGACCGTATTGAACTGGACTGTTGGCCAGAGTTTAACTGTCAATCCTGTCATGGGTTTCTCTGGCAAATCGATGATCTCTTCACATACTTCCAGATAGTCTTCTTTTCTCTCGATCATCACCTGGCATTCCCTCTCTGTATGGACTTAAGGGATAAAAAGTAGGCGGGGAAACAGGTCCTGCTAGATCCTTCTCTACAGAACATCCTGGGTACCCAACCATCGAGTAATACTTGTGCAGCGGGAGGAAGTCCACCGCCTTTGCATCCTACCTTCATGCCCCGTTCAGAAAACCCAACTGGGTTCCGGATGGACATTTGAGGCTCATAAGGAACTATCTCCAGAAAGAGGGTGGAAAATGTAAATACCCTGCAGTATGGTCAGCTGGGGTTTACTGACCATACTTAGTACTGAAACCACCACTTACACTTAATAATGGTTTTAGTATAAGTGCTTTCTGCAAAAATGAAGAGAGCCTTGTGTTTCCTTCAGCAAAAAAGGAATGTTAGAATTCTGATTTTTTTTTTAATCTACTGATGAAGTCTTAGCTAAACAGACCTATTTTGGTTCACGGAGTTCAGTGTAGGAAGAAGGCAGTTTTCTGTAGTCTGAGGGACAGAAGATGAAATTTAGAACCTGTTTGAATTTAATTCATATTTTGCTTTGCTGTCACAGGAGCCCCTTAAATTCTTTGTTCATGGATGGATGGTTGATTGCTGACTAACCAGCCTACACAGGTCTATCAGTGAGCTTTGTAACCCCATGGTCTTGATTTTCTTTTCTTGAAATGGCAGCCTCTTATCCCCTTCCTCTTCATCGTCCCTGCCTGCTGTATGCTTTTATAATGCCAGTGTTAGTGAGTTTGGTGTGGTGTGTAGAATATATTTCACTATCAGTTTCTTAGCGTATTCAATTCTGTTTCCAAAGATATGATTAATCTCTGGTATTTAATGAAGCTTAATCTGGAAGGCAGCGAGTGATGGTGGTTTAAAAGCTTTGGGCTTATCTCTTGGGGAATACTGTGAAAGGGAAAGACTGTAATGTTAGATGATGAGAAATGTTGGTTTCATCTTTGTTGATGAATCGGACTAGATAGCCAGAGGCAGTGACTTAAAGGGAAATTGTATTCCAGAGAAAAGGTATAAAATCATGTAAAAGTAATTGGTTGGTAAAGTATAGTCTGAGTGTGTGAAGCGGGGATGCAGAAGCAGACAAACAGGCAGTCCTGTTTTCTGTGCTCGTAAATTAAACACGCAGGGTCTACTTCACTGCCCTCTGTAAACGTTCCAGACGGAGCTTTCTTTTGAACAGAAGGCAACCCCGGGACCTCAGGAATGGTACACCAGTAGTGAGCCTGGCAGTCTTGTGGTTAGAATTTCACCATTGTGCTTCCTGTCAGCACAGGGAGGGTTGGTCTTCTGTCCCTCAGACATTAATTAAAGATAGCCAGAGTCCCGACAGGGCACTCGAGGTGAGGCTGGGCCACTGTGAACCCTTCCCTCTCTGCTCCCCATTCTCCTGTGTCTAAACATCGCCCTGAGAAGGTGGTGCCAGAACACAGAGGAGAGGTCTATTAAGCGGGCTGTTTACAAGATCATCCTTACTTTGAAACCTTTGGACTAGCAACCGAGGTCATTCACCTTTTTTGCTTTAGTCTCATCTTTAACTGTACCATTCTCCTCTCCCATCCACTCCCAGCTATTTTTTAAGGAGACTTCAGTTCCAGCCTTGAGATTTGGCCCAATCTGTATTTTCTTAGTGGAGACAAGGTTGCCTTTGGGGTTTTTGTTCAGTTCAGTTCAGTTCAGTCGCTCAGTCGTGTCCGACTCTT